AGACTAAGGAAAATAGAATTTGGTAAGAAATCAAAGAAGTTGCCTATTTATTTCCTTAGTTTTTTCAAAGTCTTTATTATTAGTCTTAGTTTGTTAGAGCAGCCCTTTGTAGAATACATGATGATGGAATTCTATAAGAAGCAAAGATTAGGCAAGTTAATTTAGAAGAGTTGGTGAAGAGTACAAGTGTGTATGTGTTATAAGAATTCCACAAAAAGATTGATATATGGTTGACTGTGTATTATTTTGGAAAATTTGCCATTATATGACTAAATGATGCACGTTTTTAATTTTAACTAATTTATTCCAAACAATTGTGGCTCGTTTTCTTTGTAAAAAGTACAGGATATACATTTTTTTTTATGGAGTGAGAAAATAAAGCTAAGTTAGCCCATTTGATTGGGGATACCTAAAACATCCTTTTGGATGATAAGGGAGAGGGAAGGCGCAAAATTATTAAAGGACCAAATTAAATTTTCATGGTGGTGCCCCTTCTTTGTCATGTAGTCTGCCGCCATATTCCTCTTTTGCAACAATGATGAATGGAGAGAGAATAAAGTGAGTTCAAAGCTACCTGGCCTCCGTGTCACATATGATATTGTAAATCTCCCATGGAATTTTTCATGTCCTCTTGATGACGTTTATGACTACCAGATTATCGACTTCTATAATCAGATTACGAATGTCTAGGAATTTAGCTCCCTCTAAGCCTTCTCTTAGGCCCATTGCTTCCACGCGCTTGGAAAATTGAAGTGTCGGGGCGAAGAGCCTTTGCCCCTGCAAGAATAAGATTTTCATTACTCCCTCCGTGTGTTTTTAAGTGTTACACTTTGACCGGCATATAGTTTTAGGAAATTTAATTGACTTAAATAAAATAAGAGGTAAGTGGGGTAGTTCGAGTATAAAAAATTGAAAAAGAAAGATAGTGGGGTTAATAGTTTATTGAAATGTAATGAATGTGAAAGGAGATATATAATAAAAAAGTAATAGTACGTGGGTTTAAGTGGGGATCACGAGAGGAGAGAGATATAATATTTTAATGTAGCTTTTTGCATAAAAGAAAGTGTAATACTTATTAAAATACGGCCGAATTTGGTAAATGTAACACTTAAAAAAAACACAAAGGGAGTATGATTTCTAATTACAAAGCCAAAAGTAGAGCTATTTTCGCCTATTTTTGAGCCATCAAAATTTAACCTGTGGAAATTTCTTGGAGGGGGAAACCAAGCTCTTTGAGTTGTATTTTGGCAATTTTTATTTGCCCGGGACTTAGAAGATCTATGGGGTTGTCTTCATGGCATATTTCAATATTTTGATAGTTGAACCAATCATTAGTGAAGTTCTTGATTAGAATGCAGCTTTGTACAACATTGAAAGATTCATTTCTAAAAATTACTGAATTTCTAATGTACCAAATAAACCACCATGCTATAAAAATATTTTGTGTCATCTCTAATGGGTTTTCTGCTCTAATATTTGAATAGAATTGATAAATGATGTCCCATATATTTAAACGGGTTAGTCCATTTGCCTATCTTGGTAAGGTAGCTGAAGAATGAAGATGTCTTCTAAAAACGCACATTTAAATAAAAGATGGTCTACATTTTCTGTGTGATGATTACAGAATTGACAATGAAGAGGAACGGTGACATTGCTTCTAAATAATCTCTCTTGTAGGAACTCCATCATTGTAAATTTTCCAAATAAAGTTTTTTTTTTAATATTTGGAGGGAGATTAGTTTTCCATATCCATTCGTATGAAACTTTTGCATTTAATGATGGGTCATAATTAAGAACTATCAACTAGAAGTGTATCCCCATAATACTTTATCTTCTTGATTGTTAAAAGGGATATAAATGTTGTTGCAAATGCGTTTGTGTAGACACCCATTTGTGTCTCCCCAAAACCAAACCCAGTGATGAGTACCTTTCACGTCGAATCATAATCGAATAAAGCGAAAGTGTGGAAAGTCTAGTGTTGCGAAAAGTTTTTAATTTCTTTTCTCTTCTCTCTGTTTTTGAAAACTTATTTTAAGAAAACAGACAATCCAGTTTGGTTGGTCCATGATATGGGTCCAATAATAATGTAGTTGGATGGAGTTTGAAAAGACCTTTCCAACGATATATTATAAGCCCAATTCCGATGAATATCGAGGAAGTTATGGCCAAAATACTAAACTGGACCCGATTTGGTTTTTATATGCGGCCCAATGATCTAGAGGAGAGTCTATTATTAATTATCATTCCTAAAGCTATTAGGATTGATTATAGTCTTTTAGAATACTCTAGAAGGTTCTTTTAAATCCTAATGGAGTTAGGATTAATAATTATGTTTTAAAGAGTTTGAAATTGAATAAAACTACTCCTTTTAAGAATCCTTGTTTTGTACGAAGTGGAATATATTCAGATTTTATTTTCGTGCCTCATAATATTTATCCAAATTTTATATGGTTGGATAGATCTTGAAATTATCTTTCCAATGATATATTATAATATTAAATCCGAGTTATAACGAAAAAGATATGAATGAGACATGAAACTTTATCCAAAACTGACACCCTTCCACTATTTTGGCCATATCTTTTTATCTACAAAATTTTTTAACCTGATTCTAATTGGGTTGGAAAGTAGACTTTAAGAGCTTTCCAACGACATATTATATGTCTTATTTGGACTTCCGGATCAAAAGATATGATGAAAAACAAAAACGCGTGAATTTCTGAAATCAGTGCCTAGCGCCTGGTGCTAGCCATTGGCGTCTGCCGCCAATAAGCTGGTGCTGGTGCCAGCTCTGTTTTAGGTGCGCCAATCTCGTTTTATGTGCGCCAAGTGCTCTGTTTTGATATTTTATCTTTTGGATGATTTTCTCTATAAATAACGTATTAAAAACTCCGTTTTCATTCACCTACAATCAGTTTTCATTCGCAATCATTAATTCTCTAATTCTCTCTTAATCATTCACCAACTCTCATCAAGATTTTCTTAGATTATTCTTTATCTCTCTCTCTCTTTTTCCAAACTAGCCTTTTCTCAAATACAAAATTCCGCATTCGCAAGACTTAGAAACACCTAACCATATTCGAAGTTGCCTTCGCCCTAGACGTGAAAGGTTTAATTTCTGAGGGTTTGGTCCCAACCCAAATCTCTATTTCAATTATTTAATTTAATTGTTTTGATTATTATTTTCCTTGAAGTTAATAACGTGTGTATTTTGTAATTAGAAAGAGATACGAGGCATCAAAGTAAGTGCTTTAAAGGTTTTAATTGATATTATGATGTAGAAATCATGTTTACGTTGTTATTATGATATTCCTAGTATCATGTCTAGGGTAATTTTAATATTAAATATGATTCCTACGAGGCTTTCTATATTCTTCCTAATATTTATGATTGTTAGTATCATGTTAAGGTTAAAGATTTGATTTTTATTGCTTAGTGACATGCTAGGGTTTGTTATTAATCTTGTTATTTTTATTATGCTTTAATATTAACATGAACATGATTATGATTATAATTGTTATGATGATTATGAATATTATTATTATTTTGATGATGATTATTTTATTTATGATTATTATTGTTATGATTATAATTTTATTATTCATGATATTGATTATAATTATGTTGCTTGATATTTATTTTTATTGCTTGATCACACCTTCTATGCATGTTAAAGGGAATTAGTACTTGTAATTACGCTTAATAAGATAATAAATAATCTTGTTAGGGTTAATGTGATTATATTTCAAGTGATCGCCAATAATAGATTTATTTGTGCATTTAATATTCAACCAACATAGATTAAACAGATTTAGGGTTAATCCTAATGATTGCATGTTAATTAAAAAGCGCACATGAATATGATCAGAATAAAGTAGAGGCCTATTATTAGGGCAGGTTCAATCTCTTTTAGGTTGGATTTGTACCTTCATCCCCGAACCCTTATTTGGTTCTAGACCTTATGGAGTTGACGATCTCTTGGATCGTTAAGGGGTGTAACTTTCATCCTATGAACGGTTTACAAGTTCCTAAAACTTGTTGGCGACTCTTTTGCTCTATCTTCTTCCCTTTTGGACGCCACCGTACTTTAGTGTATGATCACAGTGGGGTTCAAGCTAGTGGGATTTTAAAAGGCTTGAGATTATTCCCTACAGTTTGACTATATTTTGGGGGAGGATTTGGTTTAATGTAGTAGTATTCCATTGCTTGTGTTCAGTGAAATAGGCACACACTTTCTCTATCAAAAGACTATGTGGAACATTATGAGTAATTTGTATCAATGGTTTCTTAGGAATCCAGGTGTCTGTTCAAAAGTAAATTTTATTATCATTTGTACAGGATACACATTATATTTCTAAATTGCAAAAAAATGAGTTATTTTTGTACATAAACTCTTTTTGGTAAATATTATAGTTCGTATGTACAAATTAGCTTGTAGCTAGTTGTAGTAATTGAATTAATAACCAGGCCTGACCCTTAACATGTGCAGCTTGAGCTTCTGCACAGGGCCTATTTGCCATTGGGGCATCAAAACAGTCAGACTATATAAAAAATAGTTACATGTGTTTTAATAATATTGGAGTATAATTCAATGGTGAAATACTTTAGCATGTTATAAGCATCCTGAGTTTGAGGATTGTCTCTAAAATTAAATAAATTTGAAGAGAAAAAAAATCTCAAAGAAAATTAGGTTTGAACAACAAAAATATCATAGATATGAAAATATATGAAATGTCCATCGAAACATTAAATAGTCTTCTCTCCCGACCTTTGTTAAATGAATGTAATAATATGAAAATTACTTATGTATTTATTTACAAATTATGTAAAATTAATTATAAATTAAAAAATTAAGTCAAAGTAAATATATTATTATATTTCACATAATTAATGTATATAATTTGTTACTTGGTAGAAATGGTGAAAAGTCTATTACTCCCCCTGTCCTTTTATTACATGCCTATTTCTCATTTTGTACGGGAATTAAAGAAAGTTAAAGATTCCTTCAAACTAATAGTTGAATTGGTTGGATTAGAGTGATTACAAAATCAATTACAAAAGTTGTTAAGCTATTGTATTTATACATATACAAGTTTTTATTATATAGACCATAGACCATCACCTCTCCTACCCCAGTACAAGACAGCAGTATAAAGCTTTCAAATTTATGCCTATGTAATCCATCACACTCCTTGTCACAAGACTGCAACCTGTTGAAAGAAAGCTCAGGTGGCCTCTGAATATCACTAGTCGACACAGCAGATAGCTGTAAACTCTGACTGTTATTGCAATGTACTTCTAATGATTACCATCTTGAACATGAATTAGGAAAGTTTTCTATGACAGGAAATTGATGACATTCACATCAGATATACAATCTTCAATAACACTTGTAGAAAGACCAATTAAAAGCCTAAGAGAAAAAGTCAGCATTCTATTTTCATAGTTTTCCAGGATCAGAGAAATAGGGAAACTATCGAATCCCTTTACAAAAAGGTTAGGAAGGGAATGAAATCCTTGATGATCAAATACTTACTATCCGCATTGTGATCATAATCTTCAAAAACCACATTACAATGAACACTCTTAGAGTTTGGACTACCAAGGCATCTAAATCCTAATGAATTGGAGCTTGGACAGTAGGCAACTAATGAGCTAAAATACGGAACATCTTCTAATAGATTATCTTTAATCACTTGCTTTATTTGTCTACCGATATTATTAAATTCTTCGAGTTTTATGCAATTTCTTTCTCATTGCAATTTGCAATATGACAAGTCTCAATTCCAAAGCTCTACCACAAGTATAATTAGGCTTGGGGGTTATCAGCATAAAATTTAAATTACATCAAGGATCAAACTAAACAGGCAGCACTTCATCGAAATCGACAAACTAGGACACAGAGGTATAAATTTCATCCCTACTAAGCTAATTACTTCACTCTAAATAAATGATATTCACTAATCAGCAACTAATCAATAGCAAAATAATGGCATAATTATCACAAAAATGACATTCAACCTTCTTAGCAATCATAACATCAAATTAAAATTTTACCAAATTTCAATTAGGATATACAATTCCGAATTCTGAAGCAACATCACCTCTCCTACCCCAGTACAAGACAGCAGTAGATCATCACCTAATTATATAGACTTGTAAAACAACACATTGTATCCCACGCACTCAAAAACATAGGTAAGATGAATTTAGCTAAAATTATTTTTATTACTATTGAAATTAATATAAATTCGACAAAATTAAGGGTAATTTGATTGAACTTACTGTAATTCAACTGAAATATTTATTTGCATACAAACAGTCGATTGAATTTAACCCTAAAACTATAAAATAGATGAAAACTATGAATTTAATTATGTTCCCTTCACATTTTGAATGATTCATGCATGCAGTTCAATTGACAAATAATCAAAATTCAATTACTCTATAACAAGAAGAATCGAACCTACCTCAGCGGAGTGGTGCAGTGCTCAGAAGTTGTGCGGCGATCGGTGGTGCGGCGGTGGAGCGGTGAGTCAGCGGCTGAAGGTTAATTATTACAGCGGTGGAGGTTTCACGAATTGAAGCAATAAACAAGCAGTACTTTGATTTTTTTTTTTAAGGTTTAGTAAAGTGAAAGTGACAAAAGAACGTGAAAGTGATATTAAGGAGTGCGCTTTCAATTCCTTTAAGCCGCCTTTAATTAATTAATTTGGGCAAATTATTGGGATTAAAAGTGGCGGACGGAGCAAAGTTGGGATTAATAGTGACATTTTTTTTTTAAAGCTAGATTGGAGACTGCACAGAGTTTTAATGGGGTAAATTAGGTAATAAAAATTTATAAGAAAAAATAATAAAACTATTATTATTTTATTGAAAAGTAGAGTGGTAAGTGAGGGAGTAAGGACCATTGAAGGAGTGAGAAATGGTAAAGTAAGAGAGAGTGAGGACCATTAGCAGATAAAAAAAATATTATTAAACTAAAAGAGTTTCCAAAAGAGAAAGCATAGCTTTTTAAAAAATCGATCGGACAAAATTAACAAGTGTAACTTAAAAAATGGAGGGGGTAATATCTTTAATAATTAGGAAAAATTGTCAAAAATAATACAAACTCTGAGCGATCCGTTAAAATCAAGTCAAACTTTTAATTATTTCTAAATAATACAAACTTTAAGGAATATCTTCTTTAAACAAGTTAATTTACCTACATCTTAGAGCTTGTTTGACATCAGTTTTGGTTTTCAGTTTCCTGTTTTTTTGAAAACCAAAAACCAAAAACAGGAAACAAGAAAAAGGTGTTTTCACTTTTCTGTTGTCAGTTTTCAAAATTATCATAATTTTAATAAGTTTATATAATTTTTTATTCATTATGGAACACATATCATATACTTTTATAAAACAAAAAACCAAAAAATAAAAAGCCACAGCAATGCCAAATGAACCTTTATTTAACCGTTTTTTTTATATATTTTTTTTATTTTTTATTTATCTTATAAAGTTGTTTAATATTTTTAAAAATAATAATACAATGTCACGTGTTCCATATAACTTATTCATGAACTAATCAGTTTCAACTTGTTTAAAGCGGATAACCCTTAAAGTTTGGCCATGTTTGATAAATGGCTTTTTGGTTAGCTTTTGGCTTTTGGCTTTTTTATGAGGTCAAACAGCCAAAAAATGTGTTTGGTAATTGGCTTTTTAGCCAGTGAAAAAGCTGGCTTTTAAGCCAAAATGAAAAAGCTGCTTTGAGTAGCTTTTTTGTTGGCTTTTGGCTTGTTGGCCCACAAATTATCTAATAAACAGCCAACTACCAACAATTAATTTACCAAACACTTTTATAAGCAGCCAGCTTTAACCGCCAATTTCAAAAGCCATTATAAACAGCCAAACATACCAGCTGGTCAAACAAGCCAAGTGAACCAGCCAACAGCCAACCGCCAACAACCACTTGCCAAACAAGGCCTTTGTATTATTCAAAAATAATTGGAAGTTTGATTTGTTTTTGGCAGATTGCTCAAAGTTTGTATTATTTTTGACAATTTTTCCTAATAATTATACACAACTAAAGATTATTTAAAATTCATCGATATTTAGTTTATAGATGTAGAGACGAGTCACAAAACTCCATTTGACTTAGTTTTTCATAAGTTAATAAATCACACAGTAAAATTAAAGAGGTTTATATGAACAGTAGCAAAAGTCAAAACATGATGACCACCAAAATGACCATAAAATGTAGTAAAGTATAAACCCATAAAAAATTCAAAATGCTCTAAAAAGGTTTATATACTCAATTGACAGTTACAACATCGCCTAATAAATTCATATCTCACCCAACACTTTCTCAAATCAAACCTTATTATTTTTTCTCAAATTATCAACGAAAAAGCAAAGGACATCATCACACACACTACATAATCTCATTATAAATGACATTATTTTTCTTCACAATATAAAACGACCTAATTGAAAACATAAATTAGTAAAGATTCATCACTAATTAGAATTGGATTATGGTGAAGTTCAAGCATAAACTTGAGGATTGGCAACAAGATGCTCTTCAACAGCCTTAAATATCTTTTGAATTCCTTCTTTGGCCTTCTCAACATCCTCATCCTTCATCACATTCTCTCCCTTCATGTGGTAGTGTGCCACCATCTTGCACCGGGTTCCGGCTTCGGATACCTCGTACTTGTCTTCATACACAGCGTACTCCACTGTATCAGGGAACACATCTCCTTCAATGCAAGTGTACTTGAGGTAGAAGTTACCGGAATCAATCTCGTCCACTCTATTCTTCACATATTTAAATGGAGCCTCTGCAAAAATAATACGTACAAAGTTATGCTAGAAACCTAAGAGCAAGTTTAGCTCCAAGTCTGACTTGGGGTGACATCATCATTTTGAGTCTTAAGATTTATGCTTAAGACTTTTCCCATTTTTCTTCAAAAATCTCAAGCAAGTCTCAAGTTTGGTCTTGAAATTCCAAGACCCAACTTAAGACTTGAGATTGGGACCCACTTCACCCACCTCACTTTTACTTTATTATCCCTCTTTTTTTTTACACATATAATATGTTAAATATTTAAGTCTTAAGGCTAAAGTGATAAATTTGTGTAAGTCTTAGTGATTCTTAACAAGAATTTGATGACATCATTTTCAATGGGGACCACAAAAAATGATGTCACATCCAATGGCTAAACTTGCTCTAAATAAAAGTCAAAAAAGTCAAATTGTGTAAAATGAAAAAAAAAACCAAAAAAAAACATTATTTGAAAATATATATAGTAAGGTTTTTTTTTTAATTAAAAAACAGTTAATTAAAAAAAGTCATATGACATCTACAAATTAAATGAAATCTTAATTAATAAATACATAAAATTAATGTTAATTTAGATTTCATTTGTAAACGTTGTATGACTTTTTTAGTTGATGATACAAACGCAAAAAAAATTGCATGATATTTAGTCGTTAAAAAACTAACCATCAGGGAAATTGATCTTTTTGATGCATCCAACAGTGGTGGAGTCACCTTCAACAAACTCGACAGATTTAGCAAACTGAGGGAAGGTTTTAGGAATGAAGTTGTGGTTGTCAATGGCAAGAGCTTGGAACAATCGGGACGCGGCGACTGGGCTGGTGATGTCGGCCAATGTGCATGTGATAACACCCATGATTATTGTGTTGTTTTCCTAATAAAAAAAATGGAGAGGATATTATAAGTGAAGAGGCTAATATTGAAGAATTAAGATTACTAGTAAGAGTAGCTAGTGAAGAATGTGATGATGAGAGAATTGGATGTGCAAATAACGAGTAAATGTATTGGTATTTATAATGTTAGAGGGACTATAAAAGTAACAACTTGGCAATGAGCCAAGGACAATGAAGCCGCCGGCCTCTTTCCATGCTTTTTTTTTATTAGTGTTTGGTGAATTTGCTTTTATTCTATGGGAGTATGTATAATGATAACTACACTGTATATACTTGCACCAAAAAAAAAATAAAAATTACACTGTATATACAATCCTCAAATAAGTAATTATAGAAAAAATATATTATTAAATGGTATTAATTTAAAAATTAAATGTATGACAAAATCACACGTCAATAGTTACTTATAATTAGATCTATATATATCATTAGTGTTTGTTCTAAATATATATATATATATATATATATATATATATATATATATATATATATATATGGGATCATGTGAGAACCCATGGCTTAGGTGAGAACCAATATAAAATGAGAACCAATCTAAGACCATTCATTTTTATTAGATGAATGGTTCAGATTTATTAGTAACTATAGTGGGAATTCACGTGGGCCAGCTTGAAAAGGTAATGATTGTTTGTAATTTTTTTTTTTTGTGCATTGGAAGACGTTGTATTCCATTGGAATACATTATGGGTCAGTCATTGGAAGACGTTATCTCAGCCATTGGAATAGATTCAGCCATTGGAATACATTATCAAAGGTTAGAGCTCAATTTTTTTTTTTTTTTTCTGTAGTTATATTAAGCATGGATTTGTCTGTTGAATTTGGTACGTCTAATGTTCTTCATGCTTTTACCCCCGGTGGAACGAAGATATGGATTCCATGTTGTGATAGTGAAATTAGACCAACTATAGGTATGAAATTTTCAAAACTTGATGAAGGTTTGCGTTTTTATGAGTCCTACGCAGCTGTTGTAGGATTTATTACTAGAAAGTCGACGGTCAAAAAAAGAAAAAATGGTATTATTTCTTTTCAAATTATTGTATGTAATAAAGCTGGGTTTAAAGAAAAACGAAATAATGTGGTGACAGAGAAAGTTGATAGTATCGGGGAAGAAGATGATAATTTTGTAGATGATATGAATGTTGAAGAAGTGGTTGTTGGTCAAGATAAAGAAGACTATGATTGTCAAGAAGCGAATACTCTTATGGTTAAAAGAAGATTGTCTACTCGAGTTGGTTGTAAGGCAAATATGATTTTAAAGTATTGCGAAGATGGAGGTTACATTGTTTCTAATTTTGAAGAAGGGCATACTCATCATATGTATTCATCCGAGAACTCTCATTTTCAGAAGTCCAAAAGAAAGCTGACAATGTTTCATAAGAAAATGATAATTGATAATTCAAAGGTATTTGAATATGGTTTTGTTTAAAATGATTAAATTTTAAATGTGAAGTAACAATTGTGTACATATATGAAACATTGTTACTGTAATATGAAATATATATTGTTTTGGATGGAACAATCGTATTTGAATATGGTTTTGTTTAAAATGATTAAATTTTAAATGTGAAGTAACAATTGTGTACATATATGAAACATTAGTACTGTAATATGAAATATATATTGTTTTTGATGGAACAATTGTTTGTAATGTATATACTCAAGTAGGTGTAAGTACAACTGTATGGAACAATGGTTTTAATAAATGAAACAATATTACGTATAATTAAAACATAGTTGGAGCGATTGGTTGTAAAGGTTTAAAATTATTTCGTTATTATAACAAATGTAACAATAGGGTAATGCGTAGGAACAGTAGGTCAGATATATGGAACAATAAAGTGCATTTTTGGAACAGGTGGTCAGATATATGGAACAATAAAGTGCATTTTTGTTTCATATAATATGTCATCATCGAATTTCGCACTATCCATCAAGAATAACGTGTACCGTTATTTGTTATTAAATGTGTGCCTTTTTGTTTTTTGTTCACATCTATATTTAGAATCTTTGAAATCTTTTTTGCCTTTTTTTTCATATAAATATGCACTGTTAAATCTGTTTCCATATATATCATGGTCCTCAAACAGTCTAGTCTTTTTACATTCTGTCTCCACAGGTGAATATTGGTCCTGTCAAGACATACAGAATGGTGAAGGAATATGTTGGTGGGTATGAGAATATAGGCGCTAGTAGGAATGACTTCAAAAATTTTCATAGAGATTTGAAGGCGTATATTGAAGGATCGGACGCCCAGAAGTTTGTTGATAATTTTAAGAGGAAAAAGTTGATGTGGTCGGCTTATTTTTTTTATTACGAAATGGATGAAGACGACTGTCTATGTAGAGCTTTATGGGCAGATCCTATTTGCCGGAGAAATTATGTCGTATTTGGTGATATCTCTCGTTTGATACAACCTACCAAAGCAATAGGTATCATAGTGTTATTTTTAAAGTTTTTGGAATTTTTTTTTTTGGGTTTTACAATTTGATGTAACATTTGTTTTAATTTTCGTAACATTGGAATAATATTACGAAACTGTAGACATAAATATGGAATCGTAATTTCAGCGTATGTTTCATGTTTTCCAGATATAATATGGTATTTGGTCCATTCACGGGAGTCGATCACCACAAGAAATGTGTCACTTTTGCTGCTGGTTTTATTGCAAAGGAAGATGTTGCTTCATTCGAATGGCTATTTAGAACATTTGTTAAGGCAATGGGTGGTAAGGAGCCCAATTGTTTAATTACGGATCAAGATCCAGCTATGAAAATTGCTGTAAATTCTGTTTTCCAACAATGTGAGCACAGGTATTTATTTTATTGTACTGCAACTAGAATGATTCATTTGTGAATACTATTGTTTCAAAATATGTGTCTGATGTTTCATATTAGTTTATTCATGTTTCCAGCTGTTGTTATGATGTTAAATATTATTGTTTCAAATTTATTGGTTCAGATTAGTATTTATTTTATTGCACTACAACTAGAATGATTCATTTGTGAATACTATTGTTTCATATTATTGTTTCAAATTAATGATGTTAAATATTATTGTTAAAAAAAAAAAATTCTTGTTCCTAAATAGTGTTTTATTGTTTCAAATTTATGTTCTCATGTTCCATTAGGTTAATCAATTGTTACGAGAATTTGCCTAATTACTCCAATTATTTTTTTTATTATTTCAAATCTTCAAGATAATGTTCCGGAATTTTACTACAATGTTACAGTATTAAAAGCTAATGTTCCTAAATAGTGGTCTAATGTCCCATAATTAATGTCATTGATTCATTTGTGAATACTATTGTTTCAAAATACGTGTCTGATGTTTCATATTAGTTGATTGATGTTTCCAGCTGTTGTGATGATGTTAAATATTATTATTCTGAATTTTTTTTTAAAAAAAAAAACATTGTTCCTATATAGTGTTTTATTGTTTCAAATTTATGTTCTGACGTTCCATTAGGTTAATCATTTGTTACGAGAATTCGCCTAGTTATTCCAATTATTTATTTTATTATTTCAAATCTTCAAGATGATGTTCCGGAATTTTACTATAATGTTACAGTTTTAAAAGATAATGTTTCAAAATAGTGGTCTAATGTCCCATAATTAATGTCCTTCAGATTTTGTATGTGGCACATAATGAAAAAGCTGCCTGATAAAGTTGGAAGGAATATCATTCAGGATACTGAATTTTTGAAGGAACTCAGTAAGTGTGTTTGGAATTTAGAAATTGAGGCACCTGAATTTGAAGAGAAGTGGAACAATGTTCTTGTTGAGTTTAAATTACAAGATCATGATTGGTTGAATTTGATGTTTGAGATGAGAGCTATGTGGATTCCAGCGTATTTTAGAGATGTCTTTATGGGTGGTATTATGAGAACTACCTCAAGGTCAGAGAGTGAGAATAATTTTTTTACATCCGTTGTAAATCCTCACGTGTCTCTTGTGGAGTTTTTCATGAGGTATGAAACTGCGTTGGATGCACAGAGACATTGTTAGGCAGAGAATGACAATGAATCACAGGAGAAATTCCCTCAATGTAAGACAGAATTGTTGATTGAGAGGCATGGTTCTGAGGTGTACACCGTTTCTGTATTTTATGAATTTCAAGATGAAGTTCATAGTGCTTTTTATTGTTGTGGTGTAGATGAATTGAGGAAGGAAGATGGTATTGATGTAGCAATTGTTACTGAGGCAAATAGGAGAAGGAAATTTAAAGTTTTGTTTGAGTGCTTTAGTCATGACACTACCTGCTCTTGTAAGAAGTTTTATAGGATAAGAACCCCATGCAGACATATGATATGGATGTGGAAGGCAAAGAATTTAAAAAGCATTCCAAAGCAATATATCTTAGATCGTTGGACAATAAATGCTACTCAGAAACCAGTGTTAGATATAAGTTGTTTAGACACCGAAGATGATAGGCGGGTGGTTATAAATGAAATGTGGTCGGAGATATTTTCTTATGTGAGTTGGGTTAAAGGTCATGAGGAGGACTTTATTAAGAATATTCGAGAGTTCAAGAATAAAATTGAAGCGACAAAAAATGTTACTTTGGAAGATACTCAGAATGTAAGATCTAGTGAACATGATATTGAGATGTTAATAGGATGTAGCATCCTGATGAAATACTTGTTCAGCCTCCTAAAGTGTCGAAGAATAAAGGTACAGGTGTTCACGATGGCTCTGGAACTAGTGGGTCTAAAAGATTAAAGGGTGCCAAAGAAATAGCGGTTGAACAATCTAAAAAGAAAACGAAGAGGAAATGCAGTGGCTGTGGCGAGCTAGCATATCATGATATTCGGAATTGTCCTCACAAAGCATGATGATTTGTGCAGCTGTTGTTCCTTCTTATGGGAATGTTTTACTCATTTTTATGTTTGTTGTAATGGAACAATTAGTTACATTTGAGAAACATAAGTTTTAATATATGTTACATCAGTTTTGAGAAGCATCAGTTTTAAGAAACACTAGTTCTAATATATGTAACAATTGGTTCATTTATGGGAACAGTAAGAACATTCCCTTAAACATTAAGATTCGTTTTAACATGTTTTGTAAGCATGTTTTATATAAAAAAGTTACGGAGTATATAATATTTTTCACAAAGTGTGCAAATTGATTTTATGTGGCAGCGTGTATTGATTTAACTAGTCGTGGCAGCGTGTATTGACTAGTCACCTTACACTTGTCAGTTTCATGTGGAAACGTGTTCAGTTGTGACAGTGCATGGTTTAAATTTATTTCTTACCGTTGACAATGCATGTTGTTTCATATTGTTTCATATTACGTTACCGTTGTTTCATTTTATCTATTTATAGTTTCATTTAATAATTCTAATTATGGAAAAATAATCCAGAACATGTTTAGCTAAACCTATAATCACATTGTTTCATATTACCTAGCTGTTGTTTCATTTTATATATTTAAAGTTTCATTTAATACTTCTAATGTGTCATATTAATAGTTCACAATTGAAAATAATATACGCACATCTTTACATACGAAATATAAAAAGATGTTTAGCTAAATTATCCAGGACATGCATAAAAAATTATGTATCTTACAACTAATGTGGAAACATTATAAACATTGTTTACTGATTAACATGACGAAGCTGCTCTAATGCCCAGGTCTTTGATTTGGCTATAACTTCATCTTGTAGTACGTTTGTAGGGCCTGTCAATATTTTCCCACAATACTCAATCCTCAACTTCTTCATTATATCAGGCTGAAATATATTAACAATTCAAAATAAATACCGGAACAATGAACCATAAATTATGTATAAATTAATATAAGAATTACACAAAAACTCACATCTTTTTGGGTCGAATCCAATATCCCAACATTCATCTAGCTGCCCCATGTAAGTTTCCATGTGTTTGAGAGCGTATACACCGCAGTCATTATAATTCTCATTATTCTTCCATCTCATTTCCTTCATAGTGGTATTGAATCTAGACACTCCCCGTCCATTCCCAACTTTCTTTTCATTTAGAAATTTAGCAAATGCCTTGATCTGTGTAATATGAAACAATTAGATGTACCAAGGAACAATGGCACAACAAATATATACAATGAAACAATTGATATATAATATGAAAACACGTAAATGAAAAATGAAACATCAGATGTATGAATATGAAATCACATATTATATGTACAATGAAACCTATTTAATTTAATATGAATCAGCAGTAATGAAAAAATGGAACATCAAATGTATTATTTGAAACCATATATGTATATTGAAACAAATTCTATATAATCAGAAACACCAGAAATCAACAATGAAAACACCAGATATACTAATTGAAACATCAAAAAAATAAAAAATGGAATACCAGTGATGTTTAGTGAAACAGTGTCATATTTTTACCATGGTAGTTGGGAAATTGTCGTACTTTGCATCCATTTCAACACCTTCTTCTAGAAATCTGTTGTCTATAATTTGCAGTTGCTTGCGTGAAAAATTGAAACAGAACAGATAATAGTGGTCAAATGCTGGGACGAGAAAGAAAAACCTATAATGAAACAATAAGTAAGTTATATGTAACATTAAGTAAGTCTTTTTAAGCAAATATATATGCTAAGAATCAGTACTAGTTTAGTATCTAACCAAATCTACTTTCTCAAAAGAATTTATTTTAGAATGATTTCATCTCGTCCACCATCCTGCTCTTGAAAGCGTTGTATCTCTCTGCAAACTTGGTATTTGGCGTAAAGTACTTGTTACCGCACAAACATATTCTGTTTTTTCCCGGTAATTAATCAATTGTTGTAGTTGTTAGTGTATCAGGAATATATAAATGTATCAATACTATAAAACTGAAGTAATTTTATACGGAGCATAATATATTAAAAAATGTAACATTGGCACTATATAGTGGAACACTGGCACTATATAGTGAAACATTGGCACTATACAAAGAAACAATTGATATATAATATGAAACAACATAAATGAAAAATGAAACATCAAATGTATGAAACATTGGCACTATATAGTCAAACATTGGCACTATGAAATGAAACAGCGTAAATGAAAAATGAAACATCAGATGTATGAACATTGGCACTATGTAGTGAAACATTGGCAATGTATACAATGAAACATATTGTATGTACAATGAAATATATTTAATTTAATATGAAACAAAAGTAATGAAAAATGGAACAATATGTTAATGAAACAAATTATATGATAAATGAAACATTAGAACTTAAAATGAAACTGTAAAATAATTTTAGACATAATTACCCAACATTCAGAGGAGTAGAAAAAACGGTTGATAGCGCCTGGTTGCCTTCTTTTGTTTGCCATGTTAAGGATGTGGCCCAGGAGTCTATTATATTGTTGACCACATGGTTGTCACCTGTAGTCCTAAAATGTCTTCCTACTGATGAAGTTAAGCCCGTCATTTACAGCTGCTCACTGAAATTGATGGGACA